CTTAACCATTTTAAAAAACTATTTCCCCAACATTTATTTTTCGATATGTTTTCTATTTTCCTTTAATTTTTATTTTATCATATATATATACAGATTATCTCGATTCTAAATGAAAATACTTATTAACCTTTGATTCTATTATCATTTTGTTAAAATTAAAAAAAAATTATTAATGACTTCTTAGACTATGTTATTGCATATTTTTAATATATATATATATATATTATAGGGAGAGGGCATAGCTTTCCTAATTATATCAGTAGCCCCCATATATTTCAAACATCAATTGTATTTTTGCTATCCAGAAATATTTTGTAAATCCCCTACTAGATATCTAACAGATTTAACTACGATTGACATACTTTAAACAATACATAGTAGAATGTTTTTATTAACGAAAAAATTGAAAAGTAGTTATTTTTTTTAAATCCATTAATGTAATTGATTTAGAAAATTGTAAAAAAATATTTAAAACTTTTCGTTATTTTATTATAAATTTAATAAGTATGAATATAAAAACAAAGTACCATTTTTCTATAAACACTAAAATAAAATAACTAATTCGCAGATCACAGATTGTATGTGTGACATAAGAATTCAAATTAACAAAGAACACGCAAATCGTCCTATGTAATTTACATTACAGTTTACAGTTGTAATGCAATCACTGTTTTTGTCGATAAGTTGACATGACTATTTTTATCGTTATGACGTGTTGGTTTGGACAAACACAATAAGTGCGTATTTTAACTTTCTGGAAATATCTAATAAGACACAATATTGTCGATATTATAACAATAATTCATATTAATACACAATATACCTAAAATCGATCTCATTTATGGATTCCGACATCTCAGAATGAAGTTCTATTTGAAATTAAAAAATTATCATTAAAACTATTAAAATGTGTTTTCAATCAATAACCTGCAAAAATCTTAAAAACTTTTTTTTTCATCTATTTTATTAGGTTCCAATTACGGTCTTGTTTTTTAAAAATTTAAAGTTTCGGCCAAGGTTGGATACAGACATATGTAAAAAGTTTTCAATCGGTCCTTTTCGATTAGGACTTAGACCCTGATTACGAGCGTTGTCAGTTAGGCCTGAAAAAGCTGTGTGTATATATAAGTGTGTGTGTTTAAAAAATATTATCATTGTGTTTTATATTGAGGTTATGACTGAATAGAAAACACGACTGTATATTTTATAATAAATACTTAAAATATCAAAAAAAAATGTTCAGTCAAATCACGCGTTGTTAAAAAATAAATAAAATACATTATTTAAAGAAATTTAAAATTGATGAAATCACAAATAATTATTTCTACCAGCTAACTATGATTAAATACAATTAAAATTCTACAAAAAAATTTTATTCTCTGTTGAGTACTCTTATCTTGAAATTTAGCTATTAGTGGTTTTTTATCTGAAAGTTATCAGCTTTAATAGCGAAACCAAACAACAGCAGTCTTGTCTCCCAATCATTTATTAAACATGATGTTGCAATTATTTATTGTTAAAGGAGTTTGTACGCGACAGGAAAATCATCAACAGCTGCAGCTTTTCCAAGAAAATTAATTTCAAGTCTAAAAGTATTGAACTAATATTTTTCCTACTGATCTGAATGTTTATCTGAGAAACTACTTTTTAATATGACTACAATATTACTATTTTAAGATAAAAACACTTAGTAAAAGCATATTATAATTACATATTTCTATACATTATTATGAGATCTTACAATAATTTCTTATTGCCATAATTATGTAACTCGATTACCGCAAAAGCCCAATCTTCAGAATAACACGAAATCGTGTTGCCCAAGAGTGTTCCATAGTTTCTTAAAAATTAGTAGCTCTACACTAACAGTGCGAATGAACAAAGGTGATTTTTATTGATAAATTAATGACGTGAATGTTTTTGCACTTGCAAACGTTCTATGATATTAGGACCGAGATGAATTCAGCGATTGTAGATTTGTAATTTAAAAGTAAAAGACTTATTTTAATCGTCGGTTCAAATTCTCTAATCCTAAACGTGTACCTTTATTAAATTTTATACGCCAACCGTTTTTATTCCGTCGACGACGGTTTAAAGCTCAGTATAATAGGGATAACGACTAGATAGTATATACGCCCGTTCATTGTGTTTGGCCTAAGACTGCAAGTTATTGTTATTATAGAAAATGATCCCATATCGTACAGCGGTTTTACTTATACGATGAAACTTTTACAACAAAATCGCGTTAATATATTGTTACAAAAACATATAAGGTCGTCGCAACATTGAGAAACAATGTATCACAGCCGAAATGGCGTAGCGTATTAGACTGAGATATACTAATTATAATTATTATGAAGCCATTACCCAGACTTTAAAAATAATAATGTTTTCAAATGTATAATTATTCAAAACGGGTTAACGGCTGGTCATTTATTTTTTGGGACCTTATCCATTTTATAATACCAATTACGGAGGATGCCGTTTGCCACTAATAGTTACTCCTAAAAATACTTTTAATTAAAAAACACACTTTAATTAATGCAACCAATTCGTTTCATTATGATAAATATTCATTAGTTTCCAAGTCGTAAATATTGTTCGACAAATAACAAATATTAATTAATGACTTAATAGATATCAACTTGATGATTCGTTAATTATGAGTACTCATTATGATATAGTTACACATTGACGCTGTATATAGAGTAATTGGTTTATCGCTGACAAAGTTTCTTCTTAAAAAATAATTTATTAAAATAATTATTTTTCGATTTTTGAGTGCTAAAACATATTTTAGATGTATCTCTTATCTCTTATAAGGATACAAACTTAATTTTTTTTAATAGTACATAATTTTACATACATATTTTATTAGTTAATATAATATAAAACGATCCAACTAAAAATATGACTGGTCGACAAGAACTTTTGGACCAGTATTTCGGAATTCAATAACATGTTTTAGTGTAGACTGGAGGCGAGGTGCGAGTTATCACTTTGCGTCACTATACCGTTATTTTATCCTTAATATATGATTTTCAGTACAATTTAAAAACTAAATTCGTAAAAATATTAATTTATCTATTTGTTACTTCAAGCCTTCACTTATCGTTGTTCTTTTTTTTTTTTTGCAATATACGATGATACATAAAATAATTGCCAATTTAAGGATAATCAATGTTTCAGACTTCAAACATAGAGAACACATAGTCACACAACTTAAAAAGTTCTGTAATCGTCATTTAAAACAACAATGTAGTTCGTGAAAACTAATAAATGTATATGTTTACTTTGAAAACACGTTTTGTTAACACACAGCAAAATATTTTATTTCCGAAATAGACAACTCATAACTGAAGTGATTAAAATAGACAAAATAGTAAAATAGAATATAATTTTTCAAAAAAAAAAAAAAATGATACTGATGGCCATAGCCCCGGAATTTATATGCAAGATCAATAAAACAAAAGACGTTAAATAAATAACAGCTAACTTTTGGATGAAAAAATAAACTGAATTAAATGCATTTGCTTCTGGTGGCAGATTACATTGAAGAAATAATAACTATTGCGAACGGATGTCAGTTAGAAAGTCAGTAAAATATCAAATGAATAAAAAATGTTTTGTTTTGTTTTCTGTTACGCACAGTAACTCTAATAAAAAACTGTCAAATGAGAAGAATAGAGATCGGTTGGGCTTGAGTTGAGGGGTTAGCAAAAGTTTTTCAACACATGCAACCGTATCCCCAGCTTGGTCATTATCAAATGTTCAGAGCAATTCTGTTATTTCAGCAACTTTTTTTTTTTTGCTCAATTGACCGACAATTCTACATTTATACTACATATATAATATAAACATTCGTTATTTTTAACATTTCTTCCTTACGTTTCCGGCTACTCGCTGACCGGTTGTCAGTATAACAGTAAAGACTATAATAGATATAATATAAAATATATGTGTAGTGTGTTGAGAGTTTAGACGTTAAAGACAATCTAGTTCTATGTACGGTATCGTTGTTATTTTAATAACACCCAATAATTTATAATGGTTAATGTTTTGTGCCCGGATTTTTTTCCCAAAAAAGTTAATGCTATTTATGCTCGAGCACAGAGATGTACACAGTATGATTGCATGTTTACCAAAGCTTAAAATTAACGGCACAATACTTTGGATGGTTTTATATTTAAGCTTTTACTAGGGCGAGAATAATTTCGTTATTACTTTTTCTTTTGGGGAACACTAGTTTATTGAACGGTACAAAAAACCAACTAAACAGTTATTTGTAACATTGGAACTCAACGATTTTTTTAATGCTCTTTGTCGTAAAATACTATAATATATACTGTACATGAAAAATACGGGTCGTAGGATATAATATCGTAAAATATAAATTGGTGTTGGAGGAACACTAAAGGAAATTGACAGTCTGTACAATATATATTAGATTTTCGTCTAAGTACCTACATTGGATGGACTCTTGTTTATTATTTATTACTATTACTTTGTTAAAATTCTTCCAGCAGCCGATATTAAATATAATTATTGATTAGTTTTTTTTTTTGTTCATTCAACGTAATCAGAGTAAGAAAAAATATAGTTAACAAAACAATACATTTGTTAAATTAACAATATTTAATATAATTTAATTTAATTTAATATAATTAATATTTTATAATTGTTAAACAATACATTTGGCAATATTTTCACATCGTAAAATAAAACATAATTGTATCTCGATCATTAAAACATAATAACTTACTTGTCGTGATCTCACATAGAACAATCTTACAAAGTGTGTTTTTAAAAACAAACTTTGTATATAATTTTACAAATAAACATGTTGTATAAGATAAGCTCAAATTAAAACAGCCGGAATATTTGAATGCAGTATATATTGCCCCTAAGCTAAAAAATCATATTTTTATATAAAACACTTTTAATCTTTAAAAATTATCTATTTTATTTAACTTATAAAAATGTTATTTTTTCTGTTACAGGTGTGGTTATTTGGTGATTTATTATGTTCTGTATGGTTGGCTGTAGATGTATGGATGTGCACGGCTAGCATTCTTAACTTGTGCGCCATCTCTTTGGACCGATACTTGGCCGTCACCCGTCCAGTTCAATATCCTAGCCTGATGACTAAATTTCGGGCCAAAGTTCTAGTCGTGATAGTTTGGGTGTTAAGTTTTGTTATATGTTTACCACCACTCGTTGGATGGAGGGATACCCAAATCCAGACGGAAGCTTCCACCGTTCTTATCCGAAACCATTTATACCAAAATGACACTCACCGTCCACAGTATGATACATTATTACCTCCATGTCCTTGGATATGCGAGCTACCCAATAACAAAGGTTATGTGGTATACTCGGCTCTCGGTTCTTTTTACATACCCATGTTCGTCATGTTGTTTTTTTACTGGCGTATTTACAAAGCGGCTGTGCATACTACTCGAGCCATCAACCAAGGCTTTCGAACAATGCGTAGCCGACGGACTTTTGGCAACCGTTTTGATGATGAACGACTTACATTACGAATACATAGGGGTAGGGGTTCTTCGTTGAAACAACAACCTATGATAACTCCTACAGCTATGGTGGCCGCTGTGTCATCGCCTATTAACGGAGGATCACCTTCTTCGGAGATTGTGAGGAGTCGGAGATCGTCGGCAAGGCGTAATAACCACGAGCAAATTCAAATTAGTGTCAGTTACCCTAGTTCAGATTGTATAAGTGCCGCAGCAGCTGCAGCAGTTATCACCAGTACTTCTGTAGATGCAAACGGAAACTCACCTCCCGAAACGCTAAGCCAGAAATCTCGAAGTTCGTTATCATCCACCACATCACCAACTAGTTCCAGTCCACTATATGCCGTTCATTACTCAGCAATAGACGATAGTTACCATCACAAAAGGGCCAATACGACAGTGGCCACTGGCAATACCAGGGAAACGTCAAGCTGTCAACTTAGAGTAACGAGTGGTAGTCGGAAAGAACACCGTCGTTGCAGTACTGGCGATACTGTATCTCCACACTCCCGACTGTTACTAGGCACTACACATCAAAATATGCACAGAACATCTATAGCCAAGGAACAATTATCGCCTTCTCCGTCGTATGATGACTCTACGGGCGGCGGAGATAGAACTTCAAACCAAGGCGGTAGCAAGTCCAAGTTAACGTCCAAGGTGATGGGCGGCGGTAAAAGAAACATAAAGGCGCAAGTAAAACGATTTCGAATGGAGACAAAGGCTGCCAAAACACTAGGTATTATCGTCGGTGGTTTTATCGTTTGCTGGTTACCATTTTTCACTTTGTACCTGATTCGCGCATTCTGGCCTACTTTCATACAGCCCACGCTATTTTCAGTCATGTTCTGGCTAGGCTACTGCAATAGTGCCATCAATCCAATGATATACGCGCTATTTAGCAAGGACTTCCGATTCGCGTTTAAGAGGATCATTTGTCGTTACTGCTGCTGGACCAACGCCAACGAATCCGGGACTCTCATTGCAGGTGGCCTGGCCGTAACCGATTACGGACGACGTAAAGGGTCTGATGGTTCACAGCTGGGAAGCAATGCGTCTCCTCGGGCCAGGTACCATGGCAGTACCGATGCTTGTAGCACCAGAAGCCTTCGAATAACACAATACTCAGACTGCGAACCCCTAAACGAACCCTATTCAGACGACAGATGACCAAAGTGATAATCGGTCCGCCGCATACTGTCTCTCCTCACACATGTTAATGATGCTAATAATATTATGATAATAATGATTATACGTTATAATAGAGTATGTTCTATATAAAATATACACGAATATATATATATATATATATTCACTCTTAAACACACACAAATCACGACATTTACATATAAATACACTGAAAATAATAATCGTGTAACTATAAATTGATTTTCACACCAACATGGTATTATTATTATTATTTTATTATTAAATATTGTCATAAAAATGTGTACGTTAAAATATTATTTATTAATATTATGATATTGTATATTGTTTAATAAAATGTTTGCTGATATAAATATTTTACCATTAACACGCCATGTAAAAATATAATAATAAAGAAACATTATCATAGCCGTTGGGAATATTTATTTTTATAGCATAATATTACTATAAGTAAAATAATATACAGGCACTAGAATTTTTTCTTCGAAGAAACATATTACACACATCTTTAATATTTTCTAAATCAAGACATTCGTATTTTAGTATAAAACAGCCCCTGGTTATGTAATTCGAATATAATGAAAATACATATCAAATAAAAATCACGTTTACCACAATATAATAAAGTAAGTGATTTTTGACGAACAAAAAAATTTTTTTTAGAGTACAAGATGGATTGTTTTTTAAATAAGATATATTTTTTGTAAAGTTTCTACGTAAAAGTTGTACTCGTCTAATGCTATTTAAAATCTACGAGATAACTTCTATATTAAAATGTATATCGTTGGATGATTTTTAGATAAAAATGTCATAAACATATATTAAATAAATAGATAAAGAGAAATGTAAAAACTTTCTTTTACTGACTGAAAAATTTTCTGTGCGTGAAAGTCGTACGTGAAATGTGTATTTCACTGAGTAGCAAATAAATGTGTTTTAAGTTTAATAAAAATAAGAAAATTCTAATAAAAATGATTAAGTTTGAGTACCATCCTGCTTAATTGATACCAGAAGTAAAAAACTTTAATATGATAAAATCATAAGTTATACATTAACGTGATATTTAAACAAAATAATCCAATAAATTTTTATTTCAGTTATTAACGTAATTATATTGAACGAAATATTTTATTTGAAAATAATGTACAACTTTCACCTTATTTGATTAAAATAACATTTTCTGCTTAAAATAAATAGCGAGGTTAATTTTAAGTAATAATATTATAAAACATATAAACATTTTTAACTAAAAAATATTTGTACAGCTTTTTAATTGACGTCAGTGATGGTAAGTATTGCAAACCATATTAGTTATTTCATTTAAGTTGTTAGAGATTTAATCTGTTGTGCAATAAAACTTGACAGAATAACAACTATATTTATTTATATTAGTTGAATAACTGTGTTGAATATAATTTGATTGTTTAAACTGAAAAATGATTGAAGATTTCATTACATTGCCCAGATATTTTCATATACTACTAGTCATTTTAATGTTTTTTTTATAAATATATACTTGGTAAAATTGTATTTCATTTATCTTGAAAAATCGAAACTCAAATTACTTTTCACAGTAGGAGATATTTATTATATTATTATACACACAGAAAAACTCATTCTAGGCGCCACTCTCGTTTTTTGGCAATTTTCCCTTTGAACAATTATATGGCATTGCTATTTGTTCTGTCTGTTAAACGCCAAATCACCAATAGTCCGGCGCCATTATAAAGTATGAACTTTTAAGTTTGCCAAAACTGATAACTTCGGGGCTCGCGTTCATTCCGGAGCTCCAAAATCGTTTGATTCTTTTCTATACCCAATATCCGAATTCTTAAGACTATGTTACAAGTATACTTGCGTCCGTTTTCTTTACTGTTAATGATTCACACCTTAATAGCACCTGAAACCACATAAAATCCTCTTTTAGGAACCATTGCACGAGGAGACATTTATATCGCACATTACCTTTTACGGCGCTTTTAAGAGTTTATAAAACAGCACTTTTCACAATAAAAAAGATAAAACACATAAGTAAATTTATTATACGTACTACTTAAGGTACTTTTAGAATCTCGACCAATTGGTGTTACATTTGTCATAAGTAATACAAAATAGGTCACCACTATTTAGAAACATATTTCAAGAAAGACAAAAAAATTACAAAACCGTTAGCTCTGGTGAAAATATTAGCCTAAAAATCAAAATTCAGTTATAGTTTTGGAGAAGATTTGAGGGGGTTTATTCCCATAAAAACGAAAAATATTTCTACGCTACTATATTATGCTACGACTAGTTGAAATCCTCTAAAATGGGTCAAATAAAAATTATAAATGCATAGAATTCCGGACCCTGATCATGATGATAGATGCGAATTGAGGGTTTGAAGAGGTTTAGCCCTCTAAACTTAAAAAAATAATATGAATATAATCATTGATTAAGTACAAATAGATAGACCACGTTAGAACATTTTCCAGAAACGCCTTTTTTGGATAGCGAACGTAAATATCTGTTAGATAGCAATCATGTTTTTCTATTGATCGAAAAAATTATAAACTAATTAAAATTGACGACATAAACACTATCTATCAGTTAGCTTTTTTTGAGGTCCAGAATGCATTGCAGAAAATTCCTATTATGTGTCCCATATATTTGTATTTAATCAATAGTTCAAATGTATAAAAATAAATTTTAGAGAAGAAAAAGTTAGGTGTAATAATTCCTTCCCTAAATTTTGTTGAAATTGAGTGTATACCATGACTAATATATTGACACAACATGAAAAAAAAAGCATAAGATTTAGGTTTTACTCAAAAAATGTTTTTGACCGAAGTTGTACAATACGGTCTGAAATATTCTATTATTATTCGATTTAATAAAGTGTCCTGTTCAAGATTAAGAAAAACGTTATAATGCGAAAAAACGTTTCATCTGTACAGTTGGTTTTAATGACTGTGACTGTCTTGTTAGATAGCTAAATCGTTATATTTTAGAGTTTACACTGGGGAACGATAAAACGACGATTAAACCTTATCGGAGTTATTTTCTGATAAGTGGAGGTAAAAAGCGATTATCGGACTATTTTATCTTATTCTAGTAGCTTTATGTCAGTGTTCATATACTGTGCTGTTTTTGCGGTTGAAACAAAACGCTAAACACAACTCCTTGCCAACCTTGCGATTGATCAATAAACTTGTAAAAACAAATAAAAACCCGAGTAAATTGATATAACTTAATACTTATAAAGAATTTTTTATCGACGACGAAAGACTTTTTTATCAGAGAAAACAACTGAATTATTTCTGATAATGCATTAACGATTGCAACTGGTCGTGAACACTAATCCTATTACAAAACATTAAAAAATGTTACCCAGAGAAATATATAATGTGAAAATAAAACTTTATTGATTTAATATCGTTTGTGCAACGAATAAGTTATGGCGTGAAATATAAACTAAAGAAACTTTTATAATACAACGTACTACCAGAAAATTTTTCTTGTATGTCTGTTGTTTTTTTTATGATAGCTTAGTCATTGTAAACGACAACTTTTTATTACGATTTTATTAGCTAAACGATTTTTACAACAACTAATGTCAATTCATTAAAAAAATGTGACAAAGTGCAATTAATTAAATATTTTAAGTTTTTAATAGCCTGAAAAATTTAAGGTTGAATTTAAATTAGACTTATACAATAAAATAAATAAAATATACTTGCTACTAGTATATACTAGTCAAAAATACATTAATTTGGACTTAAAGATCTTAAATATAAATCATTAAGAAAATTTTATTTAACCTTTTTTATTTCTTTAAGTATTGTATAATTTCATTAAATAAATAAATGCCATATTATTAAGAATAAATTTTAATAGTGAATCTAAAATTTAATAATTGACATTAACGTGATGTGGCTGTACTCAAATTGTTCTATTTAAAATATTTACATCTTCTGTTCATCTAAAAAAGTAACTTTGTACTGCGCTGGATTCATTTGATAAATAAACAGTTGATAAATTAAGGATAAAACACTGATTTTTCTAAGAAACTATAAAATATTTAAATTTTTTATGAAGGAAAATAGTTAATGAATTTAAAAATATGTGCAATAACATACAGCTAAATAGTTGTTTACATTCCTTTAAGATTAAAATTCTTAATTTTTTTTAAATATAAACCCCTATTTTTAGTTTAATGATATGTTAGAATAAACTAATTGAAACAATTTTGTAATCATTATTCTTTTTATTCAATTAACCGTTTGCGTTTTACAATAATTTAAACATTTGGATTTAAAATAAAAATTCATTAACTTGGTTTTATGAAAACCAAATTAGAAATTGTTCTAGCTGTCGTAAGTGACAGATATAATAACAAGAATTGTCAATAAAAACTTGTTTATGTAACATCAGTAATGCAACTGAGGTTAAATAAGGTAGTCTCCGGGTCTCCATGGACATAAAACTATAGTAGTGGTGAGTATGGGTAGTGTAATGTCGCCACTACTCTACATTTTAAAAGCTATCTGGACTCTGCCTTAAAAAATATTTCTCATTGCGCTACTATGTGGCATCATAAAATTATTACTACTTCTGTATGCTAAGAAAAAAATTATCAATAGAAAATTGGTCAAAAATCGCTAAAGTTAAACAAAAGAATAATTCATCGAATAAAAAATACTTCTATTTTCTATAGAAGTAAAATATCTATTAAAAAAATATCAATTAACTAAAAATAGGAGTTTTCACTAAAGAAAATTAAAATCTATTTCAATTAATAAGACTGATTTCTTCTAAAAATATGATATACCAAAATAAAATAAAATAAATAAATACTTTTAGTGTACAAATACCTGAAATAATAATATTACTTTTTTAAATAAGCACAATATTATTGCGTTCTGTCGTGATAGTAATATTGTTAATCTAACGATGCGAATAAAGTCATTCTTCTAAACAGGACGAGAAAAAAGTTGTCTTTGAGCCATCGTGGATGAAAACTAATAAGTGAAATTGAAGTATTTCATAATCTCAAATGTAAAATTGAATATTATGTTAAAGTATCGTAAAAAAGTTTTGTACATAAAAAATTAAAGGTGGGGGTAGTAGCTACACTGTTGTCTTCTGATGTAATATTTTTCAGGAAACAGTCACATAAAAATACGTAGCCGATTTAAAGTTTAAAATGTTTTTTTTTTCTTACAAATTTTGAAAATCAATAAAATTATTATTATAATATTTTTGAAAAGTGATCGAGTCATTACTTAGGACGTCTTATATAAGGTGAATTTTATAATTACATGCTTCGATGTTGAGAAATTATAACAATTCAATAACATTAGTGTAGATAAAAC